GACGAAAAAATTAATGAAATACGTTACTTTTTACTTGCCAAATTAAAGCACGCGTTCCCGTCTAACTTACGTCAAGATAAAAGGAACGTATTATCGTTACCGATACCGGTAAAAAGTAACGCACGTTACTCCGCGGTACTTTTATTTGTTAATTAAGAGTAAAAGCGTTTTTTGCTGTTTTTTTTTTTTTTTTGCGACAGCGTATTTTAGCATTAAGACGAAGGGCGTGGGCGTTGTTCTAAAGTGGAATTTTGTATGTGGAGAAAAGACTGGCGAAATTTTGAAGGATCGTGGAATGAGTGCAAAAATTACGACTTGGCGCCCATTTTTGTTTGAGCTTAGCTCCGACGCTACGAGCTAATGGCAGCCATCATGCAGCGTCGAAAGCGCAAGTTACTGGGCCTTTTTCGTTTTATGACCGGCTCGGGAATAATAGAACACGTACAGAAACATCACGAACAACATGATGGTGTCTGATCGGCCCATCATTTTATAGCGTCGAATCCCCCTGGACTTAAGGTAAAAAGTAGTATAGAAATGCGAAAAAAAATTATGTGTATTTGTTTTCACGTCCTGTGAAGAATATTTAGCGAGTAACGTAACTAAGTAAAGAAAAAACAGTGAGTGCGCAGGCGCGCTGGTGGATGTTGATCATGATGTGGAATGCCCGAGACTGTAGTAAAAGCTGGGAAACATGGTGGAAGAAAAACGACAGGGGAAAAGACCGTCTCAAACTCAGCTACTGCGTTTATTTTCTCAATGCGTTATATATCCACAGCGGGTGTAGGACCGTTCGTCGAACGACAGTTCGTCGCAAGACAGCTGGTAGCAGGGCTATTCGTCACATAGGGCAATTCGTCATAGGGCGGTTCGCCACAATGGCAATTCGTGAAACATTTCTTTTTGATAATTTTTTTATGGGTTTTGTTGCTTATTGAGCCAAGTTTTTTTTAGGTGAGTGCGATCACCAGTGACCCTTTTCCTTTACTTACTTATTTTTCCGGCACCCATGAAATTAGTTTGTACTAATTTTTATAGGCACTGCGTAATAAATAATGTCTTGACCACCACAACCTTGGCACCACTCCTAGTGACTAATATGAAGGGAGTACACATTTAGGGGCGTAAATACAAGTATTTTATTTAATGATAGCAATTTACCGGTGCCCACAAAGAGAAACTTCTGGCACATGCTTCGACGACATCCAAGTTGTCGGTCCCGTCATAGCCATGAAGGATGGCCCGAAGTCCCCTGTCGTGTCCGGCCCGCTTCCGCGACACCCTTGTGGAAACGACGTCCCCGCTTGCAGCTTGGCTGAGCTTCAGCTCCGTCATAGTTTGCTCCTTTTTAGTGACTCCAGGAACGCCCAGAAATTCGGTGAAGCACAACTTACGTTGCTCTGCAAAAAACGATATCAAGTACTTTATAAATAAACACGAGATGCACACTGTCCAATAAAACTTGTTGGGCTAGTTGCTGCATGCTTGTCTAAAGGACGGTTGCGCGCACGAAAGAAGACGAGCACAAAACGGTCAGGACGGGGTGCGCTTGCCACGTCCGGACCTTTGTGTGTTCGCATTTTTTCGTGCGCGCAAACGTCTCTTTAGTCATACAGTCTGTCGATTGCGCGTGCGGCATGATTAAGGCAATAAAAGAAATTACCTGTAGCCCATAGTGCCATGCCTCCACACTGCTGTTGGTCCGCGGCGTTCCACCCATCGTCGCCTCATGCATGGACCACACTTTTGGAGGGAACTGGGCGGAGCGGATCCCGTTTCGTCGCGGTCGGCCGATGTAAACCTCCTCAAATTAGTCCGCTACTTTAATTGCCTCAGGGGAAAATGCTTTTATGATGTCCTGGAAAGCTTCAGGAATGTTCCCAGCAGGCAGAATTAAAGGTCAAAGCAGAGAGAATTTTCATCTGGAATAATAGTAAAATGTTTCTAAACTCTACAGGAGCTAATAAGCAATATATACATGTCGAAAAGGAAACAACACTCTACAGGCCAATAGAGACTAACCTTTACTGCAAATGTCGCGTCCATGGCGTAACGCGCTTGAAAACCCAAGACGGAAAGCTTTCGATAAGCGGACTGGGCAAGATGGAAAAAGCATCCTTGAATTTGGACCTCTGAAATATTGTCACGAGTGGCGTTGATAGCGGCCATTTCCAAGTCAGTGTACAGGATCCATGCAGCGCAGGGTCCAATGTTGTCAATGACGGCTGTGAAGAACCTGGCAAGATGAAAAAGTAGTAGAGTTTGCAAAGGCATTTGCAATACCTTGAGATAACACCTAATAGGGCAACAGTACAATTGGGATTTACCTGCGGTATGTTGCCTCCGTTTTGTCTGGAAGTAATCCGTACACCATGGGCACGGTGATGCCGTTCTTGAGCGCATGTATGGTGTAAAGCTGGTAGAACAGGGAGGGCACCACCTTGAACGTGCCATCACAAAACCAGCCACTTCCCCCTCCCAAACACTCCAGGTTGCGTTGTGTTGCAAATGGGATGAGCCGGTTGACGTCGCCCTCGCCACTGTCGTGCAAGAGAAACGGCTCTTCCTTGCATTTCACCTACAAGCAAATATGGCATTTAAATCAACCGCATAATGGTAATGACACATGGCATGCAAATCAACTGCGTAATGTTTTATGTACGCACCGTGTACTCTCTTAGGAGCTCATGTCCTCTCGGCAGGGCGGAAGGGCATAATTAAATGTTGCCCGTTGTCTCTCTCTTTGAAAGGTTCGACGTAGAGTTGACGTAGAGGGCAGTTGCGACGCAGTGCTGTTGGTGATATTTGCAGCCGCGTCCAAGAGACTATGCTGAACTTGGTCACGTGCTTCCACTGAATACTAAATTACATATGTTATCAAATGCAGTTTATCATCAGAACTATACGAAAAACGAAGTAAATCTTATGCGTCCTCACCTGCACACGTCTTCATTTTTGATCGTACCTTCAGACAGTGGATTTCGGTCGATTCTGGGGTGTGGCTGTGGTCGTTCCTCGCTTTCAAAGTTTCAAGCTTGGAAAAATCGGTTGTTATTTTTGCATTGCAGCTCTCCCTTTTCCGGCATATCCAGTATACACTGGTTTCAGTTCTTCGGTTGGCGGTGTATGAAAATCCCTGAAAAAGTAGCATCTCCCCACGTCTCTCCGTCTGGATGATATCCATGGCGAATTCAAAGATCGATGAGAAATCAAACAATTCATAGCAGTTCGCCGATTCATGAATGAGTCATTGGAAGCCGCATTTCCAGATCCTTCTTCGAAACCCTGTAAGCTAAGCTGAATGAAAACCTTTGTCAGTAGGGGAACCAGAGAAAGACTGTGGACTCGAAGGTGGATAACAAAGTAATCGTCAAAGCATTATACATTGTACTTCTAAGGTTAACTAAGGTGTTTACCAACTTAGAACCAAACGGGAGGCTAATCTTTCTAAACAGGATACTACACGCAAGCTGAATAACAAAGCTACTGAACAATTAAAAATAGGCCAGTGCTGAGAATAGCGTCGGGTTATAATATCTTCGGCGACGTTTTTTGTTCCGTAATGACAAAGCGCTATTTCAAAACTCCAGTTTTTCGACAAGTTTTCCTGGTGACGAATCGCCCCATTACGAATTGCACTGTGCGACGAACGGCCCTGCTACGAGTTGCCCTATTACGAATTCCCTTTCGACAAACGGCCCATACCCCATCCACAGCCTAATCATCGACCAACGACGTCACAAAGTCAACCTTTGTTATACAATCCTGCCCCCACTGGTCTTCACCTCAACCGTAAATGGTGACCTCAATCCCAAACAGAAAACTTGGGACCTTGAACAAAACAAAGACAACAAAACAAGCACACCGACCCACTTCCTTTCCAGCCGGATCTGAAAGGGCTGCATTTTATCGAAACAAGAACTGATATGTCCTCCACTGAACCCCTGCCCGCAAAATGCCTCATTGCACGTCCACTTACAAAAAAAAAAAAAAAACAATAACAGGTAACTGAGTTACCCGTTACTTGAAATAAGTAACATAAGTACGTTACCCGTTACAGTTTTGAATATTTAACGAGTACGTTACTCCGTTACCGAGAAAGGTAAAGCGTTCGCGCTCACGTCGTTACTTGTAACGCGCTACCGCCAATACTGGCTGTGTCAGCTCATTTTGTCGCCAATTCTACATTTACAAAAACTTATAATTTTTAGGGTAATCCTCCAGTGATTCGCGTTATTTTTAGAGGAAAAGTTGTTTGTATTTATTTTCGTGATATATCGGCTCTACCAGTAAAAGGCAGCGACGTAAAAAGTTTATTCTTGCTTGTTGTACAGCGCTGGGTGCTCTAGGCTAGTGCATCTTTGTCTTGTTTGTTACACTCGTCGCTTTCGCTTCCTACTTGCTAGCGTTCAACACCTCATGTCTATAGAAAATCCTCAAGCTGCAGTTTGGACTGTACATAGCCAAGCTTTTATAAGTACATATTTTGTAACCACCACCAGCCTTATAGTGAATGTTTATGATTTTGTCAATAGACGGTTTTTTGTTGCGCATGGGCAAATTATTACTTATAGGGGATGCAATAAAAGTTAAAAAAAACTCGCCAGTTTTACCCTATTCATAGTCAGAACCACAACAGGAAACAGCTACCAACCATCATTGTTGTTGTGTGAGAGTTTTTGGCAGCGTTCCTCTGAATCCCATTGGTGTTTTTCATTCTTCGCGTTAAACAGTAGCGCCGTTCAGCTTCAGCGAAACATGTTAAAATGTTCGCTTGAAAAAAAAAACTACTCCAAGGAATATTCTTTATTATTATCTGCTTTCGGTTTTCAGTCCCTAATAACAAACAGATTTCCCGCTGCTTGTATCCTCAGACGTATTCAGTGTTTTTTCTGTTACTTAAACGTGTGCTTCCTTGAAAACAACTGAACAGGAGACCTATTAGAATCAGTAAGTGTATCTTAAGAAATGTTCGAATAAACTTATTCATTTCATTGCAGTTACGGTCGGACCTTGGGAGAAATGCAGATGACGCCGAATGCCAGCGTCAATGCTGCATTAACCAAACGCATTTAACTATTAACTCGCCCGACGGAATGAAATGCGGCGACGAAAAGGTATGTAATGAGATGCAGTTGCCCCACACTCATAAAGTTTCTAAAGCGTCATCAATGTTTGGGGTTAAAGAAAATATTCCAAATTAAAGTTCTGAATTAATTACATTTTCACTTACACGGTTATGTCAAATATTAAAAAAGAGTTTTTTTTTTTGTTCTTTTTTCTTTCTGCAACTGGTCAATTTACTTATACTTAAAAGTCTCACATAAATGGTATCGTAGTGCAGTTTTAAACAATCAGAAATATTCTTAGGTAAGTCATAGAAGTGAACGACTTTCAGACAATTCATCTTCATTCAAAACTTCGCTTCGTGTTTTACGTTACAAAAACCGAAAGGCAGTCTAACAACCAGAGTTAAAACTTTTTTGCAACTGTGTCTATCTACAAGTAGCATATGTGTTCCTCATTGGCAAATAATAATTATAAACAGATAGTACACTGGCTTTGATAGTGAAAAATTATATATTCAAAAATATTTAGTGCACGCGGAAACATGTTAAGTTTGATTTTAGCAAGTGTGAATATATTTTGGATGTAGTCTTAAGTAACTTGTAACTGATATCGGCGGACTGCACAATATTTTAAAACAATAAAAACATTTTTACGGAGCTCTCTGCCCCCTGAGAGTTTTTCACTCGTCTATCTGTGCGTGCATTTCCCCGTTAAATTTAGCGACGAAATTTAATTGATTAGAAACTATAGAATGTTAATTTACTTCACACGTCATGGGTCATGCGGGAAACGATTGCCTGCTAAATACAAACGGAAGTTGGTGCATATACACCAATTTAAGACCCGGGACACCCCAACTTTAAATTGTGACGTGACATTACGTAATTACGACGCGTGGCAAGTCATGCCAAGCCGCGCCTTGTGAAATCATGTCGCCTGACGTCTTGTGAAGTGAGGTGCTCCTTAGATTTATGGCACTCCTTGGATATTATATTTTATGCATAAAGAACTTCTTGGATAAACTTCGCTGGAAATACATTTTTCTTTATTGAATAACAAGGTCACTACATGGCATGACAAAATAATTTGAGTGAGAAGTATTCAGAGAGACGTGTCAGTTTCAAATGTGAAATGTTAGCCTTTAACCCTGGTGTTTCTTAGGTGTCTACCTGACAATACTACACGCAATAGAGGTTTCTGAACTAGGTGGACTTTTTTAGAAAGTAGGCGTCATCTACGCAAGTCCGCGTCAATCGCCCGACGCAACGATACTAACATGGGGGGTTGCATTATAGGGAAGGCTAAACATTTCCCCACCCTTACAAAAAAAGCACAACTCACACAAGTGGTACATACATTTACCGCAATTTAGTGTAACGCCACCGGCGAAGAATATATGCGGTAATTCGGTCGACGTCCCTTATGTTACGTGATCCAACTTGAAATCTATGATAACTGAAATCACTTCACCACATGACTTGACCGCGTGACGTTGCAGTTCCACACCCTTGCGTCACGTGGTCACAATAAGTGAAGCCGCGTCACTTGACGTAACTACGTGTCCATGCCCTTCATGGAGGCACCTACCACGTGATCGATATTCATGGACATTTACCATCTCAGAAACGCGTTATAGGTATGATGTTGGTGCCTAGAACGCATCTCTGACTGATGTGTTGCCCCACGCCCTAAGAAGTTGTCCCTCAATTTCTGCATGATGACCTCATAGGGGCGTCATGATGTCGCCGGCAGCGACCCTGGCGGTGTAACAGCAATGGTAATACTGCAGCAGACGCCTGCTCTGCTGAAGGTAACTGTACAGCTCGAGTGTACAGGAGCTTGGGGAGCAAATAATTTTGACGCCGCGAGGAGAGCGACGCTCGGGTTCTATAGCGCTTTTTTTCAGAGCTTCTATGAACAACCGCCATGATCGCGATTTCTAAAAGCATAAAACTTCGGCTTTTTTGGCATCATTTGTTACAACTATGGGGCCACTTTTGATGCACGGGCGGAATAGGACCATGAACAGATATTAGTCGGAGACAGGTTCCAGGCAAAGTAGAATTACGGTTTTGTCAGGTACGAACAAAGTAATACGCAAATTGTTTTTGTCGTGCGCATTCGGCTTCACGCGAACACAAGTGGTCTGCCACGGGTCGGCTGGAATGAGTTCCAATCATTGTATCTCGATGCTTTAGCATTGCTTTATCATTGCTCCTTGCTTTAGCACTGAACAAATTTCCTTCTTGATACACGCTTGACTCAACGACAAATGAGCGACCCTGCATGAAAGAAGGCTTTTTGACATTGTGAAAGGGGTTCATATAAGAAGCCATATATATTTGATACATTTAGAGGAGAATTTAGTTACTTTACTTGCGTGAACATTCCACCGTATGCCAGTGCAGTCTATCCACCATTAAGCAGGTAATATTTGTTCAAATGTTTGTTGGTTTAATGTTCACAAAACAACAAATAGGGATGATGTAAACTAGATTTTCCAAGCCAAAATTACCTTGTTCATTGTGGAATCAAAAGAAACTTGGATTGTAAAATATTACTGCTATCTTTATATATTTCAAAATGAAATCGCAAAAAGAGCAACTTTAATATTGATACCTGTTTGCGCTCACCAACTTTGAATACAATTATAAACGTTAAATTGTGCCTATATATTACTTCATATATATTTTTGGTACTCAGTTCCTTTTCTTTTTGTTCTGCAAACAGTTCTCCGTATTGAAAACATACTTGGTATTTTTCGCCCCGATGAAACAAGTTTGACTTGGAGAAAAAAACATTAAATATAAAATTCTCTCTTGCACTTAAAAGATAGTGCATGACATTAGGTGAATTATGAATGACATATGATTTAAAATGCCGGTCTCTTATTGGTTTCTGGAACATTTTGTTTCCACGGGGAGTACACCCCTGCTTTATGGCGAAATGGTATTTTTAGGCTACTATATTTGCGTCTGAGAAAAAGAAATTGTGATTTTTTTCTATTGGAAGGTAGGTGCCTACCATTTTCAGGAGTAATTCTAGTTGATAAGTATACTTAACTGAAGTTTCGATTGCTGACAAAATTCCTTCGTGTTTACAGGTTTGCATTCATGGATCTTGCGTCTCAAAAAAAATCAGACGCACGCAATCGAATAGTAGGGCAAGTGATGACCCACAAGACCTCTGTTGATTGAGAGACTTAAAAAATAAAAACAAAACTAACTGTAACTACGCTGTCTCCAAGTGTCTCGTGGGATTGGCCGGAAGGTTATACTATTGTATTTGTGAACTGAACTATAACAAAGCAATTGGGCTCTTCCCAAAGAAGACAAACACGCTCAGAGTGATGTCGGGAGCGACTCCACGCCTCACAGCAGCGCACGAAGAGCTCTTCCCGTGTACGTTAATCTGCTTCGTCGTGCGAATATAGATCGCAAGATTGTCCCTACACACATCGAAAGGACTTTTTTTTTTAGAAAAATGTTTAATTTATAGTTAAAGGTTAGGCGAGATCGTGCATATGTGAGAATTAAAGTTAAGAAAATCATGAGAGACCAAATGAAGATAGATATAAATACAGATCTGTGCCTCTATCATCCCTTTGTGCCTGTTTCTATCCACAGAGAAAGAGGGAAAACATAGCTATGCTTATATTTACTCGGTGTCTCGTTCTTCGCGATTTTTTTTAATTCTTAAAGGGATAGTCCGCCGTTTTCTCGAGTTACAGAAGCTAATGATGTTTTCTGAAAACTGGAAATTCGCCCTTTCTGAAATGGTCTTTGACATCTTGAAATTAACTGTAGATAATCAGAAAAGTACGAATTAATACCATAGCGAAACCATATTCGTGACTTCCGGCCGGGAGGTTTCGGTTTCTCGTGCGACTCTGCTGTGACGTCACTGTTGGGTAGGCATGGCTGTGGCAAGACTTGCGGCTGGTGCGGCAAGAAATTGCGCAGGCGTTTGACTCTGAGAGAATCGGCAGCTGCTCCGAACACGGCACCGCGGATTTAGAGTTCGATCTCCGTGAGTCTTTGTTCGCCTTCGATCTGCCCGCGTTGCCTCATCACGCCAACGGCGGTGGCGAATACGGTCTCCTGGCCGCGCTTGGCAGTGCAGCCTGTGGAACCGGCCGACAGTGATAGAGACTGGTAAGACTCTTTGAACATTCCCCTTTTTCTATCATCTCCGTCCTCCCTACACTTGCCACAGGTGTTCCTGAGACAGGAGCTGCCCCTCGCTGCGAGTCGAAGATCTATGTTGTGCGGAAGCTTCCGTGATGAGCCCACTCCGCGGTATCAGTTGCATCACGCGCCACGAGAGGTTCCCGCTTTTGTGCCTCCGCAGGGATCTACTCGAAGTCCGCGCTCGTCAAGTGAAATACTACACACCGATATACGTGGATTGCTGCGACAACAGCTGGTGGGGACACTCTCCACTAAGTCTGCCCGTGAATGTTAGGACGCGCGCGCTCATGACTTTTGGAGTTTTCCCCGGCTGGTCCGACCGCTCCCCCCCTCTCTTCTCTCCTCCCATCACCCGTGAGGGCGTGAGGCTGTTGCAGGTTGAAGCTGCACTCCATAGGTGACGAAGCTCCACAGCCTAATCCAACGCTTTAGACAAATCATGTGTGGAAATTGCTAACACCAGGCTATACCGCGTTGGAGACTCCGAAAAAGCTATCAGACGGCAGCCTTCATTTCTCTACATTGCGCTTCGTCAGTGGTCATTGATCCACTGACGAAGTGTATATATAAATATATATATAAATAAAAAGAGAGAGAGAGAGAGAGGTGGAACTGCACGATGCGACATGAGCCCACAAACGTCGCCCCCCCCCCCCCCCCCCAATCAGATATACTTCCGGAGCCCCTGATCCCTGTTCATCCATTTATGTCACATTATCCAAACATGCACCTCCTAAAAGTGAACAAAAACAAGTCTTCAGGGCATTTTTCTCACAGCAGTGGCGAACCAAAATGCAGAGTAAATCATCAAAAACAGGTTGCTCCGAGTGCATCTGTAAACCAGACATCAATCTACAGCTACCGGCCAGCTGAAGGAGTACTCCAGAACAAATTATTTACGCTAGTTAGCAGATATTTGAAGAATTTTGCAAGCAGCAGGTTTTGGAATTATTTAGTGGAAACAATCGGCACTGGAATGCCATGTGTTCGCCATCATGATATGCTTCGTCTGTGTGATATATCCTTCCCAATTGTTTTTCTGAAATTGCCGAGTTCACGACAATAATATTTTTTTTAATAGCAATATTCAAGGTAATTACTGTCAATTACCAAGATAATTGACGGTTTTTACGATAAAGGTAGACTTTATGGCAAACAAATGGAGTGTGGGCGTTTGTTGACTGATTGCCTTATGTTTAGTGGTGCAGTACATCGAAGCGATAGGAATTCACATCTCCAAAACAGATGTTGACATGTCGGAACGAAAACCATATCAATGCATTTTTTTAAATGTCTGCTCGCATCCAAAAATATAAATATCAAGTTTATCTCAGATTCAATTTTGTTAAGAACTAGTTGCAGACGGGTAATGGGATCAGTGTTGTGTAAACGGAAAGGATAAAACAATGATGGCACACAACTAGACCTTTCCAGAACACGCATATATACACTGTTCAGAATCGGTGTGCAATCAACAACACCACCAACAACCATATGCAGGGACATCAAATCCCGCATCATTTGTCCATTACACATAAAGTGTAAGCCAATAAGCTTACATAATCTTTCATTGTTATAAAATACCTTCGATTGGAAGTGACAGCAATAAAAGAGAAATTTTCTTGTAGTCGCTCAATAACGTACGAGTTAGACTCTCCAATGCTGTTTCAAAATAAAGAAAACTCAAGGCGGCTTCGAACAACGGAGCGAAATAATGTGAGAAAACAAGGTGCATTCTTAAAATTGCTCGATATATGCGTTATGACACCAAACACACTGAGCGATGAGTTGACAATATTTGTAACTGGATTATTAAAAGGAAATTTTGGTATCTAAATAAACGCCCCAATCTCTAATCAGAGACACAGGGCTAACAGTATTGTCTAAAACATAGCAAAATTGCAAAATGTCACGTTTCCTGCTGAGAGAAATAACTGTTTTTGATTCGTTCATTACAATACCATTAGACGAACACCACAAAAAAGTAAAGCATGCATCACGCTGTAGATAAACACAATATTAGTCAGTCAATATAATTTATGCCGTAGACAAATAACTGCATTTTTGAGTATTTCGCGCACAAGGTAAGGTAATTTTAAAAAAAGATAAAAAAACAGCAGAGGGCCGACGTCGCTTCACTGTGGGACGCCCGACGTAACCAAGAAAGGGTTCGATAGGCAACTAGACAAACATACCAAGTTCTCACGTTAAGACAAGTAGCTCTCAAAAAGGTTGCAATGCCTGGGGTATTACAGAAGTCTGTGATCCACGTTGTCAACTGCACCTGTCACATCAAATTAAACCACGTCTCCTTGTTCTCATTCATGAAAAATGGGCACAACGCCATGCAGAAAACAACACAAATTCGTGTTCAGCAAATTACCTTTCGAAAATCCGCACCGTTTCGGTAAAATGTTTTGACGAAAATACTCATATAGACGATTATGTAAAAAAACTTTTAAAAAAAATTTGACAATGTGCAGAGCAATGACATAGGCCGGTAACTGGTCACCTTACTTCAGACACCCGAAACACTGAAATAACAAGATAACGCTCCCATTTTGTTCGGAATACACCCGATTTCATAGATAAGTTTAAGATGGGATGTCAAAAGGGCAGCCTTTCACTGTAAAACTTTGGATCCCTTTCTAACTTCAAAATATTTCGGCTTCCAAATAGCGTCCATGACTTCACGCTCAATTAGCAGATTGTAAGACAAAAAGTCGCCGCCTCCGATGTCTGGGATTGTCAAAGATAAGTCATTGGCCAAAAAACTAGATCCTAAATTGCTTCGCAATTACGTTTTCTACCAAAGTTGGTTCCGTACTAAAACCACTGTCATCTTGTTATGCAATCGGGGGCGCCATCGGCTGTGTCCGTTGTAGTCTGGTTCAGCCTGCCAAGATATTTATTTACGAGAAGCAGAATCTAAGCATGTCAGAACGTGAGGACATCTAGTTCCGAACATTGAGTCGCTAGACACGCGACCCCATGCTCATGACTTCATGGCGTCCTTGATGATGATAGCAAGCTGTCTGCTACATCTCTCCTGTCACGAACACTGGAACCGCTGGAAACATCAGATGTGACTCGGTCCCTCAGGTGGTCAGCATATACACGTCGAACTTTACAGTCATCCCCCAGGACCTCAAACATTACACTACCAATCCTCTTTTTAATCACGCCCTTTATCCAGTGCTGCTTTCTCAGCGGGAGCTTGATCCAGACTTTTTGATTTGCTTCAAACGAGCGTGAGTTCATTGGGCAGGCCTTTGAAGACGTTGATGGTTCAGCCAATGGTTTCATTAAATCATGAACCGTCCTCTAGTGTCGGCGGTTTAAAAGTCTGCATGGTGGCTTCCTGGTGGCAGTATAAGGAGTAATGCAGTATTGCATCAGAAAGTCTTGCAGGGTCTTCAGCCTGCCCTTCTTTTTTGCACGGCGGAGAGCAGTCTTCCCTCAACATCTTCATAAATTTCTCGGCCTGATCGTTTGATTTGGGACGATACGGTGGCGTGAGAAGATGATCAGTGTCGTTTAGAGCCAGAAACAACTGCAACTGGGAACTCAGGAATCGCGGTCGATTGTCGGTTAGAAATTGTTCTGGCAGACCATGGTGCTAAGAGATCTCTTGAAAGGCATCCACGGTCACCGATGCTTTTGTGGTTGTCATCGTGATGACTTCCGGGCATTTGCTGTAAGCGTGAGTCATGATGAGGTAGTGATTTTGGTTTAATTCTGCGATGTCTGCATAAAGGCGACACCGCGCATGTGCCTGCATCTTCCCAATGATGCAGAAGGACTTGCGGTCGATTGCCCGAAAACAGTGCGCACTGCCCACACTGCGATGTTTGTTTTTCGATGTCTTGGTCAATTCTTGGCCACCAAACAAAAGATCGCGCGAGCATCTTCGTTGGGGCAACGTAACCTTCATGCAGCAGGTCGAGGATGAATGGCCTCAGCTTGCCGGCAATTACAGTTTGAGCATTCCACAGATGCAACC